CAAAATAAATTTTCGCTTAAAAAAAAATGGACTAATAAAGGACAGCCAACACAGATTTGTTAAAAGCAAATCATGTCTAACAAACTGGATAGTTTTTTGATGAAGTAATGGAGAGGGTGGATGAAGGTAGTGTAGTTGATGTAGTTTATATGGACGTTTGATAAAGTGCCACATAAGAGACTTGTAAGCAAAATAGAAGCCCATGGTATTAAAGGGACAGTGGCAGCATGAATACACAACTGACTCGGATACAGAAAGCAGAGAGTAGTGGTGAATGGTTGTTGTTCTGACTGGAGGGAGTGTGCAGTGGTGTCCCCAGGGATCAGTATTGGGACCACTGCTGTTTCTGATCTATATAAATGACATGGACTTGGATATAGGGAGGACAATTTCCAAGTTTACAGATCATATTAAGCTAGGAAAAGTTAAGTAAACAGTGAGGAGGATAGCAGCAGACTGCAAAAGGACATAGACAGACTGGTAAAATGGGCAGATACGTGGCAGATGAAGTTTAACCAGGAGAAATGCGAAATGATGCATTTTGGGAGGAAGAGTGAGGAGAGGCAATATAAGCTGATGGTCCAATCTTAAAGGGGTGAAGGAAGAGAGAGACCTTGGGGTTCATATAAGTAAATCTTTGAAGTGGCAGGGCAGGAATAGAGCTGGTTAAAAAGCATACAGGATACTAGGCTTTATAAATAGGGGCATGGAATACAAAAGTCAGGAATGATGAACCTTTATAAAACACTGGTTAGGCCTTTGCTAAAGTACTGTGTTCAGTTCTGGGCACCAAACTTTATGAAGGATGTCAAGGCATTGGAGAGAGTGCAAAGAAAATTTGCCAGGATGGTACCAGGAATGAGGGACTTCAGTTATCAGAAGCGGCTAGAGAAGCTAGGATTATTCTCCTTGGAGCAGAGAAGATTAAGAGGAGTCTCAATAGAAGTTTTCAAAATTATTAGGGGATTCAATAGGGCGAACAAGGAGAAACTATTTCCACTGGCGGGTGGGTCTGTAACCCGAGGGCATCGATTTAAAATAGCTGTTACAAGAAATAGAGGTGGGGGTGAGAAGATTTTTTTTAATATAAATACAGCAAGTTGTTCGGATCTGGAATGCATTGGCTGAAAGGGTGGTAGAAGCCGATTCGAGATAACAGCTTTTAAGAGCTAAGTAGATAATTATTTGGAGAGGACAAATTTGCAGGGCCATGGGGAGAGAGCAGGGCAGCGGGATTGAATTGGATAGCTCTTTTCAAAGAACCGGCACAGACACGATGGGCCAACTGGCCTCCTTCTGTGCTGTATAATTCTACGATTCTATGACTGAATCTAGCTGCCTCTGTTGATGGTTAAGTGAAGGGCATAAACATGAACACTAGACTCTGTTCCTTTCTCATCTAGGTACTTCAATCCAGTTTTAAATTACTCCCCAATAAGTAGCTGAAAAGCTTTTCATAATATCTACTACAGTCTCGGTCGATTGAGTACCTCATGCACTCCTTACTAAGCTATCCTTCATTCCCAGGTTGCAGTCCACCCCTCCATTTCCCACAGACCAGTTTTATGCAGGCTCCAATTCATCTTTCAAAATCAGACTTTTACTTTACAAACCCAGCAACAGGTTAGCTGTTCAGCGATATGGTGAATCTGTGCTGGATACAGATTTGCTGCATTTACCACCTCCACTAAGACATAAAACAAATTAATTCTCCAAACAGCAACAGCAAGTTGCATTTATATAGCACCTTTCACAAACTATTATGTTCGTCCACAAAGTACAGTAACTTCACATTACAGTGTATCCTATGAAGCATTCAATGAGAAAAGCTACTAAATTCAATGTAAAGATTATTTATTATTATCATCATCAAGAGAACAAAAAACTAGACACTAGTTCTGAATTTCTGAATAGACACTGAATTTGTATTAAACTACCATGCAATGTACTCCGTGTCTAAGGAGCTAGAAAATAAACCCTCTCCCTGACATTTTTGTTGAAAAACAGCACTGGGAACATTAATAGCTACAGAGCCTCAGAATTGGAGAATTCTCAAAATTAATCTACACAGCAAGGCAGGAGAACATGAGTTAGACAAAGCTGGAAGTGATGTATGGAAAGGACTGCAAGAATAATTCCAGTTTTTGCCTTTGGCACCATGTCCATTAGTACTATAAATGCCACATGTGGATTCAGATAAAATCATGATTACAGATATTTCCAGCCAGCAAGGTTACTTATTTTGGAATTCATACAGAAATTGGGCATAACAATTTCTCAGATTAGTACAGTTTACAATGCATTAGGGTATTCACAGTGGAAGATTAATGCTGTGGTTCTGTTTCGTTGCTATTTTATATTATCTAAGCATGATTTTCTTAAGGAACAATTTATATATTTTTTAAATTGGCACTATTAACTTTTAAATTTATGTACAATAATAACAATAACAACATGGCTGCCATGTTTTGCCCACAAATATACAGTCAACCCACTTTAC